GGAGGCCAGTGGGATGGGAGGGGAGAAAGGAAGGAAAAGCACAGTAGAAAGCCAGGTTAATGATGTAGCCATACCAAGTAGGACCTTGTAAGTCAGTTGAATTTATTGCTGAGGGATGGATTCCAATTCCATAAGGCCAGGATTCTACTCAAGGACTGCTTTTTCGTTTTGGTAGCAATGTTCAAATTCCAAGTTGTCTTCATTGATGCCTAAGTCTATGGTAGTTCCAAATGAATGGAAGCACCGAATTTCCCAGTGCCAATAAATCTAGGTGTTTACACTCTAGGTTAGCATAACTGTAAGGAGGTAGGATTAATTCCTTTTTTAAAAATTATGCTTTGAGTTAAATTACTTATGGGTATAATGGGGATTATAAGCAACATTGTGTGAGCTACTAAAATCCACTGCACTTTTCAGGTGTTCAGTAATAAGGTACAGTGTAATTTATGGTTTACAAATTTGTGGGCCCAGAGTAACAGCTCCAGACTACAGAATATAGAATAGTTTCCTTTAAAATTTTAATTCTCTCTCTAACACTGGCTATTAAAAATTTTAGTTTTGCGTTTATGTGGCAACATCAGTACCCATTCCTTCTTAGTATTTCAGAATTCAGAAATCACATAATTTTAAAATTGGAAGATATCTGTACAGGTCATTTAGTTTATCTCCTCTTAATACTTCTGGAAACAGCCTTGTTTATACATCAGGGCAAGGTAAAAAATCTCTCCTTTGATAAAAAAAGATACCTGGGGCTGGCCACGTGGCCTAGTGGTTAAGTTAGATGTGCTCCACTTTGGTGGCCTGAGTTCGGTTCTCAGGTGTGAACCTACACCACTCATTGGCAGCCATGCTGTGGTGGTGACCCATATACAAAACAGCAGAGGATGGGCACAGATGATAGCTGAGGGTGAATCTTCCTCAGCAAAAATAAATAAATAAACAAAAAGATATCCAGAAAAATATTTTCTCTCAGAATGAGGATCTGGCATTTCATAATTCTTATAAATTTTCACCCCAAAACATTGCTTATATCTGTCAAATATCCTCTTGTACCTGTGAAAATAGCCAAAAGTTTTCATGTTATTGAGGATATTCTGGGGATTTTTAGGGCAGCTCCGCATAAGGAGTTAATATGATATGTAGGAATGACTGCGGTCAAAGATAGACCATGAGAAAAAATATCTGCTAAGCCATGAGATAAGGGATGGCTTTCTGAATTTAATTTATGTAAATTAGAGTCATAATTATGAAGTGTAAGGAACACATGTGAAAAAAATGAGATGATAATTAGATCCGAAAGCGCATTTGAAGTTTTGGAAAGTAAGCTTAGAGACCAATTAAAAGGTATCTGTGTAGCACCATTAAGAGAAAAAGACTGTAGGTATAAACACAAAGTTTTGCTCACAAGAAAGACAGATTCTTATACTTTTGGGAGAGTGAAGTAGGGATAAGTCAATATAACAAAACGTATAAAGAAACTATTCAACGTGATCATTCTACAGAGCCCTTTGTCATAATTTTATGTTCTGATATGCTATTAGTCAGTTCTCCGAAATTCGTAGAGAATGAAATACTGGTATAAGAAAATTTAAAAAGGATAAAACTGCAACAATGTAATGTATTTGCACTTTGTCACAAACTAGCTTCTTTTGTGTTTAGACAACAAAACTGGTTTCCCTTTCCTGTGGTCTGACCATCCCTGGGGATCTTTGGCTCTCCCGGCGGGATTTCCTCACTCAAAGCATCCCAGGGGAGTGATTTGTAAATGTCAATCCTCTGAGCCCTGGATAGAATTTATTTAAAAATAAATTCTCCAGGTATAAACTAACTAATAAACACATAGATAGAAGTCTAGGACATATCCAGATGGCTTTTAATTCTCTTCAATTCTTCTGAAAAAAAAAAAAAAAAGCTATTGAAACCAATCATTCACTTCAAGCCCAGATCTGCCACAGAAATGATAGCAAACAATGAATGGCAGCATGAAATTAGTGATAAGTTGTACGATATGAACAATTATTGATATAAAAGTTCACAGCAAAGGGGTGATTGTTCTGAAAGGAATGAAATGAGAAAAATTTATTGAGTACTAACATACGCTGAGGTTCTTCTCTGTGTCTTCCATAAATCATCTCACTGCGCCTCACAATGGTTTTATGAGGTGATGCTGCTACGATACCCATTTCACAGGAGAAAACAGAAGCTCAAAGAGTTGAAGTGCCCAAGGTTACAGGTAAGTAAGTGGTAGAGCCAAGTTCAAACTCGGGCAGTGTGAACTATCAGAAAAGGGCTCCTTGGTTCCATCTTGGACCACACCCTCTAGCCTGGATGATCACAGGTCACCTGAAAAATAGCTATCTCCTCCTGACCAAGCCCAGACCAGTGTAGAAAATGTGCTGAAATAGTTAGCAGCCTAATTGTAATGTTTGAAGCTCTGCTAAATATTTAGCTATACTAAACTTCAGATTTTAATTAGCTTTTCTTTACCTTTTTAAGGTGATACTAATATAAAATGACCATCACTCCTTTTCAAAAGGGATGGTTAGTTTTCCGCAGGAAATAATGAGGCAAAACATTTAATAATACTAACGAAGTTCAAAACCAGAGAACACAGAATGAGCAAGTGGAAGTCTCAGCTCATTGGCTTTTAAAACTACAAAATAGAGGAATAAAGGAAGTCCAAGAGAAGCCAAATGACTCGCCACAATGGCGCACAGCATGATAATCCCACGTAGCATCACAAGCCACTGTCTGGTCACTTCAATTCTCTCGCTATGAATGTGGTCACCGACTAAGTAAAAATGCAAAATCGTTCATTCTGTATTAAACTGAATGGCGTATATTATATATTTTTACATTATTATGTGCTGAGCCAGACCCTCTCATTTCTAACTAATCCATGGAAGTAACTAAGAGATATATCAAGTCTTTCAGTTTATTAGGAATCATGTACACTTCAACGAGCTACGAGATGTGTTTTCCACAACAAAATAGTGTCCAATCAACCCTTTCTTGAATTAGGCAGTATGGTCTTCTAACTTCTATTTATGTGCACACTTGATTTTCAAGATTATGGCCTTATTTAGAGAAGACAACAAGGGATCAGTGTCTCATTGTTAAAATGAATAATTCTACGTTTACAGATACAAAAATGGAACAAAGAATGAGTAGGAATGAGCACAGAGAGGAGATAATTTCCCTCTTACATTTTGAGCTCACCATACAGCCAAACCTGAACACACACAGGGCATTTTGAATACTTGGAGTTATTTAGAAAAAACTCTTTTAAAAAACTCAACTATTCAACCAGTAGCATATATTTAAATTTTTTTTAATTTTATAATTTAAAAAAGTCTTTTTCTTTGCTGTATATTTCAATAAAGGACGCAGCTATAAAAAAGAATTATTTGCTTTTCACTTCAATACCAAAGTGGTCACTGAGCTAGGAAACCCTTGTAACGACCACCAATTTCTTGCTCTTTGTCTTTAGCTATAATTTCCATATTCAGGAATAAGAGCTCTCATAGTTAAAGGTGGTATTTACAGCCCGACACATAAATTACACTGGTGGAGTGAAGGTACTCAGTTTTATCAAAGTTAGCTAATTCAAGCATCATTTATCATACGCTAAATATCATATTCTGGAAGTTAACATTCTTATTTGATTGGAGAGGAACAATTTTAGTTATAATTCCTTTATTCTAGTTAACCTCAATATCAGTTTTGTGCTTTATTCATTAAAATACTTTTTCAGAGACCTATAATAAATAGTTTCTAGATAATGAATCCACTAAGTGTTTATCTGTTTTTATTCTCTTGTACATCTTCCTATTCATGTTAATTTTTCTGGGAGTTCTTTTTGTCTCTTGTTTTTGAATATGTCCCTAAACAAATGAATAAGTGCAATAAAAGAAATTGCAAATATTTTTTTCTTAGTTGAGGTCTTACAACATATTTTGAACATCATTTCTTACTGTTCATTACTACAAATACTAATATGAAAAGGCTCAGACAACTGTATTGCATTTTTACTGGCCCCAGAACGGTACGTTGATAACATTTTGCCTGCCATTGTTTCCTAAAACTGAAGTAAAGAGAAAGCAGTCTGTATAATTAGAGGGTTTAGATATTATATTTTTAGGTATTATATTAGTTTTTCAACAGATTAAGAGAAGACTGAAGAAGATTGAATCTCTTTCTCTCTGCGTTCTTTCCTCCCTACACACACACACACACATACCACCCCCGCCCCCAACAAATGACCTTCTTCTTTCAACTATATGTTTTATGGCAAATCTCTTTTCAAAAGTTCTTTGTAAACAGCAATGCAATTTTGGAAAATTAATGTTATATAGTTAACATTCATTTAAAAATATTCTTTGAATTACAAAAATTTAATTTTATTTAACTTTTCAGGGTAATGCTACTATGCAAAATAAGGCACATCTGTTTTATTAGTTGGCTTTGCATGTTACTTTTTAATATTAAAAAATTTGCTTTATTGTGTTTCTACTTTAGATATACAACTTAATAGACTTCATTCCACTTTCTAACTCATTTTTCTGATCTAAAAAATGTGGTCAAATAGTTGAGATAGAGTAGGAGACAACCACTGTCCAGAAACTAAATGTTCAAATTACACTCTGTCTGCCTTTCTGATGAATTGATAAATGAGGATCCAGTCAGAGATATCACACTAACACAATTTTCCAAACTATCTATGCAGACAGACATGGCTTAGACACACAGGGGCAAATCCAAGAAAAGCATTCCAATCTCAACCCTGTGTTTATAGGACATTGGAAATGTTGGTCCTTCTTTTTGAGTCATTAGGCATGAGAGAATATATTTTGACACATTAGAATACTATTCTGGAGAAGCAATAGCAAAATCTGGGTTCTTTAGAATCAAGTGATTCAATATGTGGATTATTCAGGTTGCGGGGCTTCAAAGTATAGCGAAGACCTGGGATTTTTAAAGTGAGATGAATTGGCACTCACAGTTGTGGCAGGTGGCCCCACTGTATCCCGTCTCGTCACAAGTGCATTTGAAGCTGTCCCACGTTTGCGAGCACTTCCCTCCATGCTCACAGTGATTGGGCACACATCTGTCAGAGAAAGAGACAAACAGAAATAAACCAACAAACAAATGAGATTTACGAGTGGCCAAATTCCAAGCTGTCTGGGCAATATATCATTTAAATGCCAGGTTGCCTTACCAAGGCAATTAATCCTTGTTAGTTGAAGCAGATTAATATGATTCATGATGGAAGGTGCCAAGCGCACAAAAGATAATGTATCACAGGCCTGGTGTTTCCCATTTTTGAGTAAACAGTAGAAATTAACAAACAGTTGAGAGGTTCATTTGCACATCACAGATTCATTTTATTTTCCTTTTGCACAAAAACAAAGACACTAGCTAAATTTCCTCCTGGTGAGAGATGGGAGACGAGCCATGTTGTTTCCTGTCCTATTCTTCACCAAGGCCAAGGCCAAGTCAGAAAGGGGGAACACTGAGTTTTGCACAACAATTTGAGTTTTTGAAATAATGCCCTGGCAACAGCAACGAGAATATACTAGCCTTATAAGAAAAGATTTCTCTTTCCCCCTGTGCCCAGCTGGCTAGTGAAAGCCACCTATTCAAAGAGGCAGCAAGCATAACAAGTGGAAAAACTGCAGGTTTGGTGTTCAAATCTTTGGCTTTCTACTTACTAAAGGGCCAGTTGTGACTAGGTAATTTAACCTTTCTGAATCTCAATTTTCTCATTTGAAAAATGGAGTAATTATACCTATTTTATAAGTACTTTTAAGGTTTGGAGATAATATTCATAAACTAGATAATTAATAGGCAGGAAATAGCCCATAAATGGGAGCTGTGCATATCCGAACCACAGCTTCCAGGGCACAATTTCATAGCTCACCTGTACCCTAGCAATAGTGAAGTCGAAATCTGTTCAGGAACACTGCTGCTTCAACAGCACAAACTCTTTCCTTTCTCCTGTTCCTATCCTGTTCTCCCTCCCCTCAATTCCTCTCTCCAACTTCCCACAACCTGATTCTTTATAACCCTGGTTAAGATGCTCACAGATAACAAAGGTATTTGTTGTTATGTATTAGAATTCACAAAAGATTTCTAGATTTTAATAGGAAACTCTCTAAAATAGAAAAGTCCACCCAGATTAAAATAGCAGAATCTATTAGCTATGGGTCATAGCTAATGGACTGAGAGAGAGCCACCTCATGTGGAACCCCTTAATCACAATGCCCTGGTAGCTTCCTGCTGCAAAATAGGATAGGGCTGGCCAAAGGGATAGAGCTCTCCATCCCCCATTCTTGACTTACCATCAGCCGTTCTGTGCCTAAAACTCCCGTAGCAGGGCATAGCCCATTTTGGCATGGGACCTCCAATTCTTATGTAGGAATGCTATTCCTCTACAACTCTTAGTCACACATCAAACATTTATTAAGCATGTACTATACACACAGCAATGTGGCAAACAGAAGATGAATTAAGATTTTATTCACTGCCTTTCAAGAGCTTACAGCCTAGGACACTACATATGTTGTACACGCAAAATCTATAATATGAGATGGAAATGAAAAGTTGCATAATACAGGGACAAATAATGCACTCTGCAGTTTCCCATGAGAGATCATAAGTAGATTTGAGGTACAGTAAAAATCTTTTGATTTGAGCCTCAATGAATGGACAGGATTGTAAGAGAAGACAATGAGAGGAAGAGTATTACTGGGGGAAAAGAACGTAAGCAAAGGCATGATGATGTTGGATTATCATGAGGAGGATGGGAAATTCACTCTACTTTTAACAGCCACTTATATTTCAAGTGAACTTGGGCTTGGTGTTATCAAGGCTACAAAGGTGGTCTTTCTCCAAAGACCCTATAACCTACGTGAAGGTGGGGGTGGGAAATAAGATACATGAAAAATACAATACCAGGCAGAATTTGATGCGTGGTCAAGGAGATATGGAATGCTATGGAAATTTGGATACTAGAGTAGTGATGACTAGAACATAAATAAAGGGCTTAACAAAGTTTAGAGCATTTCTCCTGGGCCTTAAAAGAGGAGTTGCATTTTTATAATTAAAATGTTGAAAATTGTTCCCAGCAGGGTAAGCGAGAAAGCAATGACAAGGAGGTAGATCCATGGGCGCTGGGTGGTCCATGGTTGGTTGTCCATTACCACAGCCCCTACCCTCTCCAGGCACAGGCCTCAGCAGAAGGGGTTTATATCCAGCAGTCCTGATTCTTCAGATCATGGGAGGAAGCAATGGGACAGACACCAAAATTACATAAAAACTAAAACACATCCTTGATACTTAATTTTGGAATTTAGTAGGTACTTGCTTTTGTGTGATACATTTACTTTCTAAATTGTTGTGGGTTAATATCAGTTCAGCCTAACAGTGAAAGCAATTTACATCAGCTCATTATATCAATTAATTCAGGGCGAAGTAGGGCAGAAGTGTACTGAGTTGCAAAGGAAAACAAGATTGGAATCTAAATGCTCTAAATAACGCACAAGCAGAGAATCCACATCTTAATGACAAACATGACTATTGTAGTTACACACACATGAGAAGCATACAACCATCAAATGAGATTAACTGAATACTTCTAAAATTTAGTATTACTGATTTCTTTAAAAGTGATCTTTTATTCAAATGGGACCTTAATATTTTATTTTTTAATGTTCTTATAATTTATATTTTTATAATTGACATTATCCTTATGCTGATTACTGGCATTTTAATTCTTAATTAGGAAAAATGTTTTCTTTCCAAATCAAGTTTATTCAAATGTAATTTAAAAACCTAATATTCTATCACTCTATCTAAAAGAAAAAATTTTAGGACAAGTTACCAAGCAAAACAATATGAATTAACTTAGTTTCCCCCTTCCTAATTATATTTTCTTCTCCTACACTCTCACTGAACTATTTGCATGTGTCCAGTACACCATTATCACATTACTTGGTAATTATTTGTTTGAGCATCTGTCTCTTCTAAACTGTGAGCGTCTGCAGTCAGGGATTTTCATCTTAGCATTCCCAGCAGGACAAGGTGCCTTGTGCACCTGCAGTGAATGCCTATTGATGGATGGGCTGGAAGAATGGGGGAATGCAGTCCTAGACCTTTAGGCCAAGGAACTGATATAATTTTGGAGGAAATACCCCTTCTACTGTGAGAAATACGGATTTTTTTTTATTTTATTTTTTCCTTTTTCTCCCCAAAGCCCCCGGCACATAGTTGTATATTCTTCGTTATGGGTTCTTCTAGTTGTGGTATGTGGGACGCTGCCTCAGCGTGGTTTGATGAGCAGTGCCATGTCCGCGCCCAGGATTCGAACCAACGAAACACTGGGCCGCCTGCAGCGGAGCGCGCGAACTTAACCACTCGGCCACGGGGCCAGCCCTGAAATACGGATTATTTTTATGTATGATTTTAGTCTAAGTCCACACTCTTTCTCTACTAAACTGATTATTTAAGCAGGTCACAGGAAATACGTAATTTGTTTGATAGCATGTCCTAGCTTGAAAGCTTGACTCACATCAAAAATGAATCAAAATGACTCTCCTGCTGCTACTTGAGAACTACTTGACCAGGATCAGGAACATACAGGGGAGGAGTTGGCAGGTGTCAAATTGTTGCGATCAAAGGGCTCCGGAAGAAGTGATGCATCCAATTAACCCTGCTCCCAGATGGCCCTGGTGTCAGAGACTCTTCAACAGGAACCATCCTTTCAGGTGTGGCAATGCTTTCCAAAAGGCTTCAGAATCAGAATGCATTTTTTCCAAATGAAATTTATTGGTACCCCAATACAGAAAACAAACAAAAGCTATATTCTGAAATTTCAAATGGTTAACAATTACTTAATATAAAATCAATCACTATGGACAGAGTGGTTGTTTGGATGGATGTGACAATTCTATCCAGGCTTATGGGTGACAGTTGCAGTTTTATTTCACCCAGAGTCTCTTTTATTTCTATATTAGATTTTAATTGCAAAGCATTGAGAGAATTGATATTTACAGATATAAAAAACTGCAAGTGGTACCAGATTTGTTTCTTTGTAGAAGGTCCCTTCGTAGTCCATGGACACTACTCAATTAAACAGGGACAACAGAAGAAATTTTATTTCAAATCTAAAAAACGTTAATCTGACAGCATCCCTGGATGCATTGGTGGTCTTCAAAGCACTTTGAAGGTGTTTTGTTTTATTTTCCCTACAGTGTTTAAAAGTTGAAATAGTTTTAAATAAAATTCAAATCAAATCTTTGCGTTACCTTTAAAACTACATTTGGATCTGTAGAACCCAATACAAAACCCACAGAGTGTCAGGACCATGATTTCAGACACATGCTCACACAATAGCAAATAACAGTAACAGTGGAGCATTTCTCAGAAGAGCTGGCTGTTACTAATACCCTCAGCTACTGGCGCGCAAAAGCAGTGTTTCTCAGAATTTTCTGTGCATGGGAATCGCTTGAAAATCTTGTTAAAGTCAAGGTTCTGAGTCTTCAGATTTGAGGTGGAGTCTGAGAGCCTGTAATTCTAACATGCTCCCCACTCCCCCCCTGGCCCATGATGCTCAGGCAGCTGGTCAGAGGGCCACAGTTTGAATGACAAGGCTCTAGGGCACTCTGGTTCTCTGCAGTAGGGCCTCAAAGATGAGTGAAGACACCGAGAAGAGAAACAGCCCAAGAAGGAAGGGCACAGAGGGGAGACAGCATGTGGGAAGGGCAAATTTGATCTATTCAGCCTTTTCTCCTGAGACCGTACTTTTTTTCAAGGCCTTCCTACTACTTTTTACATGACCCACTGAGAGTGATAATATAATAATCTCCTAATCTCATTTATTAGGTTTAATCATTTCGGAACCTGACTATAGACCTCATATAATTCATAGAAAGTGATCATCACTGAATATGAAGGCAGTTTCATTTCACCTTAAAATCAAGTTCTGTATTTGCAATCTCAGACTCAGCTGAGATTCCCCGCCCTTTAGTTATTGTACAGAAGCCGGTACTAGGATACTTAATTTGCTTTTAGATTAGTACAAATTGTATACCTGGACATTAAATATGC